AACAAGGAAGGCCAGTTTCTGAGAAAGAGACATAAGAGCGATTCTCAGGGAGTCTTCTGAAGAGCACCAAGTAAAGGCTCCACAGAGAAAAAGGGGACTGAACAGCAGGAACAATGTGAGTTACACCCTGAATGAGAATATGAACCAAAGAATGATTAACCAGTAGATGATGGAACAAGATCACCAAGGCCAAAATAGGTCCTTTAACTTTTTCACTGCCAAGGCGTTTTATTTATTTTTTTTTTTTCATTTTTTGCACACATTGTCAAATGCACATTTTAGGCCTAAAGATTAAAGAAGAAATCTAGGAATTTTAAAAACTTTCCCTTGCAGTGGGGCTACACCTGCACTGCAAGGGTTAAGTGCTATTTTTTCTCTAGGGGATACAATAGGGCAGATATACTCACTAGATCACCTAATGCATAGGCGCAGCCTACGTATGCATTTATGTTTGTATGTATGCACGGAGCTTTAACATTTTATTGTTTTTATTCATTTTAAATTTAGTTTCGGTTTTTTAAAAATTTGTTATTACATGTAAGTGCAGGGAATGCCCCTGGCTGCAGCTGATTGGGCTGGGAAGGGAATGTGTCACTGACAGTTTAACATGGGCTCAGAGGAACTTGGTTTGCACCAAGTCCATGGACATCCATACTCAGCATCTGGGCTTTAAAGTCATGCTGTTCATTGATGTGCATGGGCTTGATATGAACCAAGTTCACTGAAGTTCACCCAGCCCAAAGGGGCAGGAAATGCGTGTGTTTTGGCAAACTTGATTCTCACCAAGTCCCTGTACATCACTAATGCTGTTCAAGCCAGCGACTGGATACAGGATTGGATGTTGGGAGTCGTGACAGAAGGTCTGGCTATTTTGGGAGCTGCCAAAAAGCATCTGCGACTGAATTCATAGTACCAGAACCAGTCTGGAGGAACCAGGTGTATGTAAAAAGTGAACACAAGAGATACAGTATATTACCTTGCCTCTTAATAAACACATCTAGTGGATGTCTGTGAAGGTTCTCATTCATCCAGGTCATGGTATATCTGTAAAAACTTAATTAAGGCAACTGGACTTGCTGTATTTTTGTTGAAGAGGCTTCACTAGTCATCCAGCTAACTTTCTCAATTCAGAATGACTTGTACAAAAAAATGATCTGGGTATAAATATGTTGAAAGTCGCTCCAATGAACATAGTCTGGTAATCATAACCGAAATGGAGTCAGAGACTTCATGAAGGTAACGTGTTGGTCCATTTGCATGATCGGAGCTAGGAGGTGTTATTGACCTACTCAGAGAGAGGCATTAAAACAGCATTTTGTGTGTGACAGACAATAGATGTCTCACCCTCCCCACCTCTATTCAAGCTTGGCTTCTCAATTTTTACATAAATGGCCTCTTTCACACGTCTTTTGAACTAGTCCTCCTCCCTGTCTAGGATGCGTACTTGACTGTAGACATGTGCATTCGGATTCGGACGAACCTGCAAATCAACGAAATTCAGTTGATTCGGCGGTTCGTCCGAATCCAAAACAAAAAATGTATTATATGCCTGAATATACTAAAACTATATTCGGGCATACTTAAATTTGTTTGCAGACGCGCCGCCATCTTTGAGTATAATTGTAGAAATTTCACCAGCACACCAGTCCATAATTGTAGAAATGTCACCAGCACACCAGTCCTTTTAAGATAGCAAAAGCTTCATTTATTGAAGTTTTTTGTCATATGACTAAACAAGCACTTTCAGGGCCGCACAGGGTCCCTTCATCAGGCTGTAGCATTGACGTCATCAGGCTTTAGCATTGACGTCAATGCTAAAGCCTGATGAAGGGACCCTGTGCGGTCCCGAAAGCGCGTGTTTGGTCATATGACAAAAAACTTCAATAAATGAAGCTTTTGCTATCTTAAAAGGACTGCTGTGCTGGTGACATTTCTACAATTTTGCTGACATTCACGGCGCCATCCGCAGTCACTGCGAGCACCCCCCACTACAAGGGACATATCGGTAAGTAGTGCGACAAGGATAGTACTTATTGCCATCTTTGAGTATATCTTGGTATACACCAAGATGGCGGCGCTTGTATGTTCGGGCGCCGCCATCTTGGTGTATACCAAAATACACTCAAAGATGGCAGCGCGCAAGGCGCTCAAGCACAGAACGTGCCGGCGGCCATTGTCTCAGAATCCGAAACAGCAGATAAATTTGTTTTCTTTGATGAAACGAATGGAAACATTTTTCTTTTTTGTTTGTTTCAGCAGTAAATTATTTTGTTTGCAGTGCACATGTCTACTTGACTGTCTTCAAAGGAGTGGCCTTTTTCCTTTAGATGTAGGTATACTGCTGAATCCTGACCAGAGGATTTGGCACTTCTATGCTGTGCTGGTGTAAATGCTGTTTTGCTTCACCGACATACAATTCAGAGCACTCCTCACTGCACTGGACTGCATACACAATGTTGTTCATCTTGTGTTTTGGCGTTGGGTCTTTTGGGTGATCCAGTTGTTGCCTCAGTGTATTGCTGGGTTTAAAGCAGACAGGGATGTGATGTTTATTAAAAAATCCTTCTGAGTTTCTCAGACACCCCAGCTACATATGGGATCACCATATTCTTTAGTTTGTCATGCTTTTCTCCTCGCTGGTAGTCTTGGTGTTCTCTCCCCTTCAAGGGGTTTGAATTCCTTCATCTTGGCCTCTGTGTTGGTGGGTGTTTGCTCTGCTCAGTGGCATAGAGTTCTGATCCTGATGGATGGTCTAATTCTCCATAGGCCTAGAGTATCCTTACAAACTGTTTTAAAATACTGATCTATGGTGAGCCTTGTTTGTTACTAATGATTCTACATCCTCACGGAAAGTTGAAGTATTTAATTACAGCCACTAATTTCTCATGCTTAGTAGACTGTACTGAACAGCACTGCATTTCCACTTTTTCTCCAGTTGCAACAACAACAACTTTCAACCATGTGCACTGCCAAGAAGAACCACCTAACCTCCTGATTAATAAGTTAGCAGCCAAAATTCGACAGCCTATTGGACAACTGTACATGCTGGAGGTATGGCAAGTTTGAGTACCTTACTTGAGCTCTACCTATGCTCATTGGACAGCCAAAATTGTTCAGAGTTGCAAAGCAATATTACTGTCTTGCAGAAGAGTACGGCACATAGAGAGGTGGATCTACACTGATAGGCAGTGAGAGGAGGTGGCCAGGTAGTTCCACTGGATTGACAGCAGGAGGAGGCTTAGTGAGGAGCAGATAGCTGGGTGGTTGTGTTCTGATGGTCAGGTTGGGAATGAGAGTAGTTGTGCGGTTACTGGTGGAGACCTAATTGTACGTACAACAGTTGGCAGAGTTGTTACTTTTGGCTTGGGAGTGTAGTATAGGATAGGGAATCATACCCCTGTCCTGCATACTGTGCACCTTTTACCTAAGTGATTGGATTCAGTACAGTCATGCTGCAGGTGTAAAGTTTCTTCTGCATGTGTCATATGCTAGTAGCAGGCTGATTGTGCTGATGGCACCCCTAGCCAAGGATGGTCGGACATGGTGGATGGAGTGCTATCGATGTGTATGTTTAATTGAACATTTTTTTTTGTCTTTGGGGTGTCCACATTGGAAGTTTTTCACTCTACTTCAATTGTGGAAACTGGGACAGTAATCCACATTGGAAGGTTTTCCCTCAGCTTTTTATTCTGGTGACCGAACAGGTGCCTACATTGGAAGGGTTTTACTCAGCTTCTATAGTGGTGACTGGAACAGGTGTCCATATTGGAAGGTTTTCACTTGTAGACCCTTAGACAAGTGTCCATATGTAAATATTTGATCAATAAGAAGTATTGGGATGCTGGAAAGGATTTATCAGGATAGTCACATCCGTTGCTGTCGTTATACAGTTGCATAGTGGCAATCGGTCGCAATTAGCTTATTTATCTTGGTACATTCGACATTTTGGAATCTGTAATGACAAAAACCTGTTGCGATCTTGCAGCAGTAAACATTTGTCGCAGCTGCACTTGCGACAGGACTATTCCAGCGCACAAGTGGCTATTGGACAGTGAAGACTTTCCAGTAGCCTGGAGGACAGCACAAAGCACATCAAGGAGGCCCCTGGAGGCTGGAGGCCCCCTGATAGGAGATAGTGCATGAGTTGTGCCACTATACATCAGCCCAGAAGCCAGTCCAAGTACCCCCATAGGCAACCCACTAGAAGTCAGTCCAGGAGCCCGTCTAGGCATCCCAGAAGGAACCTCTTTAGGAACCTACGGCTGTAGCACCAACCTGTGATCTTGCCCAGATTTCTGCCTGGAAACCCTCCCAAAGTTATTTGTTTTTTTAATAAACCTGACAGTAGCTTGGACAGGAACCTTGACAGGAGCTCTCCTGGAGTGAATTATTGTAATGGTAGTCTCATTGCTCTGCTGTTATTGTGGGTTAAAATGAGATTTTATTTAATAGAATGCATTGCTATTTTAAAAAAAAAAAAGATTATATAATTAATATCTTATTTTTAAAAAAATTATTTAGGGTGATGTCTTTGTTTTGTGCTACTTTAAGAAGTAATCAGGACCACCTCAGCTTTTGTGATTGAATGGCAAACAATTCAGTCACAGAGAAACAGAGCTTGCAAATCTAATGCTATAATAGTGCTGTATCTGCACGTTTGTCGCAAAAGGATTTGTTTGTGCAACAGAATAGCACATGAATCTCAGATGAGACGGGCTATAAAAAGATGCATGTGTTCATAAAGGCCCCCCATTGTCTTTTAGATATAATATCGACTGGTAGTGTGACTTTATAATCCTTTCAAAAAGTGTTCCTTCTATGAAGCTTGCCATACACAACTCAGATTTTAACTGATTCCTGCTAAAGTCTTGTCCGGGGTTTATGTATCACCCAGATTCCTGTCCTACACCTTCCAGGACCTCTAGTCAGCCCCAGGTTTTATGCCTTACCCTCAAAGGTAATTTAGTGCAGGTGAGGCAAACAGACAGTGCTCTGGAGTAGACAGTCTGCTGGAGCTAAAGGTTGGTAACATGTAGTGCCTAACACTAGGTTTGAGCAGGTTGATAGTTAGGAATGTGTTTGTGGGTAGTTAGTGCTGGGACATGGCTAGGATTTGGCTTGGAGTTTTTGGTTTTGTTTGTGCATGGTACACCACTGTATAAAGCACCAATACATTTCCTACTGTTTTGACTAAAAAAAAGTACTGGTCTGTGCCTTGCAGGATTGCTCAGCCCCAGGGAGCATTGTACCTGCTACCTATGCTGCAGCTCATGTATATGTATGTATGTATGTGTATAATAAATATATATTAACAATAACAAATGTCCAGGATCCAGTGCGACAGTCGCAGCATATTGGAGGCTGTCTTGCAAGATTTGCAACACCAAGCACTCTGCTGAAAATGTTCTAACTAGACGAGCTCTTTCTAAATTTTCAGGCAGGGGATGTTGTGTATAGCCCCAGCTTCTGCTGTGCACATGCAAGCACAGTTTTATATTTCTGTTCAGGAATGGACTGGGCCATGGAGCAAGGAGTTATCTACCCCCCCTGGCTGGTATCTCAGACTACAGAGGGCTGATATGCCTGGTAGTGAATTCCTGGTTCCCTGTTCTGTGGTTTCTCTTGCTGACCCACATGTCACTACAGAACAAAGTAGTGATGTACAGGCTGCTAGACTGAACCAATGAGGGGGAATCTTAACCCTACCAGAAGTTATAATTTCTGAAGTTTCTTTAGGCAGCTATTTTTTTTTTTTTTTCTTACTGCTGCAGCGATTGGTGGTGTGGTTAGTGGAAGAGGTGAGTATCTAAGTGGTGTGTGGGGTGTTTTATTATTTTTTTTAGTACTTTGTGACAGCCATGTCAGCATGTGTGTTCGAGATTCCACTGTATTAATGACCTTATTCCCTCCTTCGTGTGTGTGTTAAGTGGGGATGTACCCATATCGCTGCAGATACTGGGCAGTTTCACAAGGACTCTAACTTGTGAAAATGCCCTAATACTAAGTGCCGATACCGGTGCTTTTATACTAAAGCTGGCGCTGTAAATAAGTGCCAGGCTTCACAGGAAGGCTGCCGAGGTCCCTAGCAAAGTCATGGCAGCCTTCCAGTGAAAGCCTGTGCTTGTTTATAGTGTAGGCCAAAAATCTCCTCCTCCACACCTCCACCCGCACAGCCCATTATGGACCCTTCATAGTCATCAGAGTCTACACAGCCCAGCACATTGCCCACTGTAGACCCTATATAGCCACCAGTGAGTCCGTACAGCCCACCATGGACACCGCATAGCCACCTGAGTATATACAGCCCACCATGGACCCCGCATACCCACCTGAATGCTCACACAGCCCACCATTGACCCTGCACGTCCACCTGAGACCCTGTAGAGCCCAACTGAAACCCAGCAGCGCTTACCTGAGAATGACCCCTGCAGCGCCCACCTGAGTGACCCCGCACATACCATACACCCTGCAGAGCCCACCATAGTATCTCTATGGTGGGCTCTGTAGGGTCTCAGGTTGGCTGTCGGGGTCCCTTTCCCTGCACACTGTGTTCCTCTTAGCTTTAACCCCCGAACTGCCCGCTGCTGGGACCCGGCCTCCTCTGCTGCTGGGCCCAGGCTGCCTCCTACACCAGGCCCCCCTCTGCCCCAGGCCCCATAGTGACTGTGTGGGTTGCTCTGGTGATTGTTAAGCAATCGGGCCTTATACTGATGAAAATCGTACATGCACTTTTTATGATTATACATTTCAACACACCGTATCGTAGAGGGACTTTAAAATCCCTGCATAACTTTCAAATTGTGTGTGGTGTTTTTTTACAACTAGATTTAAAAAGTGTTTTTTAGGAATTAGTACACCTGTCATCTGAAAATGCTTGTTTGTCTGTCATGTTGACTTGGTGTCAATAATTTAGTAACTGACCCAGAAGTTTTTGTTTTTTTTGCTAGTCCTATGCCTATTCAAACCAGACTCAGCCTGGTACTCGACACTTTCAGAAAGGCAGATATTGGCAGCCCCAAGAGTCTTGACAGGTGTACTTTATGGCGCCTGACACTGCCTTGTTAAATAGTGGTGAATATCTTTGTGCTTTTTGTTCATGCCAGTATTTTATATTTAAAATTTGTCTTCCTTGCCGCAGTAATGAAGCCAGTGCAAGGCAGCCCAGTTTCTGTCACAATGCAGGAAGCTTTTGGCTGTGCGGTGGAAAATCGCTTCTTTCAGCTCCAAGACGATGACTGTGACCCCTTAGATCTTCTGCATCAGGCATCAGTTGAAAGTGGCCAGCGTAAGAAAAAAGATGCGGCATCAGCAAAAAAAACAGGTAACCAAAAAGGGAACAAGAAGGAATCTCAGAAGGAAAGGAAGACAATTGTTTCCACCACAGAAGTTCCAGGTATGTTTAAAAAATAAAAGCCTCTTGCTATTGTCATTGTAAGCATTCAATAATGTGAAATGTATGGTGTCCTGGAGCTTTACCTCCACATTGTTACTGAAACTTACATGATGCATACATTTCCAAATACAACATTGATTATTTTTGGTGCAGGAGAAATGCTGTCAACAATTTCCCTAGAAGAGTGTGAATCTAATTTATTTAATGCATGTTATTTACCTGTGAAAGCCTCCTTGTAGAAATATAAAAACCTTGAGACTGCTGCTGGGCACTGACATCTTGCTGTCATGTCAGCATAGCTTTCACTCAAGCGACTCTATAGTGTGCCCCTCCTCCCCCAGCAACTACAATAGTCAAAGTTTCTAGTCAATCTGTGGGATCTTTTGAAAGTTTTGTCAGGGTTGACTCTGCCCACTTCTGAACCTCTGCAGACTTGGCCCTTTAAAATTCCTCACCTTTTTAAGACTGCTTTTCTTTTAGCTATAACCTTAGCCAGGAGGGTAGGCACCTACAAGTTTTACCAATCAAAGAACCTTTTTCTATTGGTATTGCCGGTCATGTTAGACCCGGACCTGTTGTATCTTCTAAAGATGGCTGGCAAATTCCTTAAGTATTAAGACCTTTTTACTGCCTTTTTGTGAAAATGAAAAAAACTGAGGAGGAATTTTCATTCACCTAGGTGTAAAAAGGTCTGTCTTGTCTGTCTTGTCTGTCTTGTCTGTCTTGTCTGTCTTGTCTGTCTTGTCTGTCTTGTCTGTCTTGTCTGTCTTGTCTGTCTTGTCATCAAATGTGCAAGGCAGCGGTTTGGTCAAGCCAGAATACCTTCTTGAAGTGCTGTCACAGCAGGACCTTGTCTTGCAAGCAGTGGTACTACCTTGAGATATCGTATACTTGTTCTTCCTCGCGCATAGCTGTCCTGAAAGGTGAATGAAGAAATTCCCAGTTACTTAGCGGTAATGGTATTTCTACGAATCTTCCTAGATAGCTGCCTTGTTCCCACCCATGGTTTTTATGTTTGGTTAACTCTTATGAGTAGTAGGATTTTTTTTTCTCGTGGTTTACCCCTTGCGCTCGTGGTGGTGGGAGCCTACTTTACACATGTTAGCTGTCCTGGAAGATTCCTAGAAATACCACTAAGTCTAACTGGTGAACCCCCCCAACTTTACTTCCTTTTTAAAGGTGTCAGAACTGTCTAGCAGGTTTCCTCTAGCACAAAAATCTATCTAACCAGAGTAGGAAATACATTTAGAAGTTTTCCTTGCCATATTGGGCATTCACAGTTGTATTTTCTCCACCAAAAGAAATGCAGCTTCAGGGATTTATTTGCTTTAACTGCTCTTTGGTTGACATGTTGGGTTGCAGAGGTCGTCACTGGGGGTAAGACTACGCATCTACACCAGCAGAAGCACCTTAAAAGGTTCTGTATGGAATCCACTTGGTCTGTCATAGCCTCCCTTCATCAAGCAGACTTTTTGGCTTCTAATGTACGGTATATGTCCCTATTTTTCCAGCACATGACTGATTTCTTCACTTTCCTTTTATCCGTGTTTTGTGGCCCTGCCTTCGCTCTATCCTCTGCACCCTGTGTATTCATCAAGGTTTTAGCCCTTGTGTTTGCCTTGTTATGCTCCCAGGACATCCCCAATGTGGGATATCTGGATAACCTACTGCTGGGGGCCTAGTTGGCACAGGTCCTGACCAATAATGTGGTGTGGACAGTTCATACCTAGAAAAGGTATATTTTGATCTCATCCTGGACATAGCTCAAACTCATAGCTTTCATCAGGAAAACTTGGCTCCCCCTCCAAGAAGCAGTCCTGTTTGCTCTCGTTTCACCCCAGGCCATGCAGCTCAACATCTGGGACACATCTGTTCAGTCAATGGACACTGATTCGCTGAACACCAATGATCAAGGTTTTTTTTGGCCTAGTGGCTCAGGCATGTAGCTCTGGAGTTGAGTAAATCCATCAATGCCAGAAAATTGGAGTACATTGTCTACAAGGGAGGAATTTAAGTCTTGAAGCAGCAAGAAAAGTGGAAAAGGTTCCTGTCCCTCAAACACTGCATGAATTGAGAAAGGGATTCTGATGATACTCAAAGTTGGAAACTAGCCCAAGTGGATGAGGTACTGACCTGATTAGACTCCTCGCAGATGCTCTGTAGACTCTTCAGATTGACCAGATCTTCTGTCCTAAAAACTGGCTCATCCTGTTTTTTATGGCTGAAGCCCAGGCCTTGAAGAACAGGGGCCTCTTGACTCAGATTCCCACAATGTTGAAGCCAGGAAGTTCACTTCCTGAAGATTCGCCATTGCACTAAAGTGACAAATCCTGAACTATTTATAATGGGGCTTGAATCGGCAATTGGCCTGTGGTACTATCAAGGGTCAGATCTTGGTGCTTCACTTCTTAGCGGTCCTATTCCAGAGACCACCAGTGTCCTGTTCTTTAGATTTTTGTATGAAGTGTCCCTTGTGTAGCTCCCCTATGCACACACCTGTGGCTCTGTGGGATTTGAAACTGCCATTTGATTGGGCATGTTTCCCTTTCCACTCTAGCTCACAAGTTGTTACTTGTCTCCAATACTAAATGCAAAGTGTGTCTGAACTGGCATCCTGTAGAGAATCTTTTCCAGTCTTTAAACAAGGTGGTATTAAGGCCTAAAGCCTTTTCTTTCAAAGAGGTTTCAGCTATTTATCCTCAACCACCACCTTGTGCTTTTCCCCCCACCCCCTGGAGATTTCTCTTCATTGTTTGGATGTAGTTCATGCTGTGCATGCCTGCCTCGCACCCACTGCTTCCATTAGAATGACTAACTCCCTCTTTGTCATCCCTAATGGTCCCCTCAAAGAGTAACCAGCTTCTTTCCACCATCTCTTGGTAGCTCAGACTAAATGACCGATGAATTCCACTTTTATGGTGACTATCTGCCCATAGTATATGGGGCTTGCAGGAGGGATTCATGGTTCTGCATAGGCAGCAGAGATGCCATTGGATTCTTAAAAAATGCTGCAAATGCAAAATACTGGCAGTGACAGGGTTGTCAGTTGGACTGGCTGGAACCGCTAGTTGTAGGAGAGGTCAGTAGGCCGTATTTGGGGTTTGTAGTTTTATAGACACGGATACCACTTTGGTTTCTCCTGATACTTTTTCTTTACAATCTGGACACAACAGCAAAGCAGGTTGGAACTCGTAGCTGTACAAAAATGTCAATTATTTGTAGTAATGGAGACAAAACAAACTGGTCGTGGTTAAAAACAGGAAAAAAAGATGCAACAAATGGGTTTAGGGCTGATATGCTGCTCTATGGGTAAGGACTGGTGTCTGTTTTTGTTTGCATTAGAAGGATTTTGCAATATCCTACAGGTTTATAGAAATTCAAAATGCAGGGAAAAAAAAGTCAGCTGGAGATCAGAAGCGCCGATTTTCTAAATGGTCTCAGAAGTCTCACTGTTGTCACTGACACAGGCCTGAACAGGGATTTATCCTATGGCATGTTGTCATTACAGTGTTTTATATAATTGGCATAACCGTGTTTGATTGGTGATACATGTACTTATTAAGCAAATTGTTTTGCATTCTTGCTTTGGAGCATATTTGCTATAAGGTGGCATTATGCTTGACATTCACTTGAATGAACCTCAATGTTCAGACTCTACCCACTAGAACAGAAATGTGTGAATTGTAAATGTGCGTTGAATGGATCTTATCAAACTGATTTTCTGCCAAGTCTGGGTCTGGCTGCAGAGTGGGGTGGGCCCTGTTACATAGTTAGTCAGGTTGAAAAAAGTTTGTGCAGAGGCAGCCAATCGGTCATCCTGTCTTACACAGTGCCTACCTTTTGCCATGGCAAGACCCAGAAGGTCTGCTGGGACATGTAAGGACCATTCTGGTTGGCAGTTTGGAGACTTCTTTTTTTTTTTTTCTAGAAAAGCTATATCAAGAGAAAGCTTAAGTGAGGATACTTTTTCTGGGTTTGTCTGCTTTAAGTGCCATTTAAGCTGGCTTTATTTTTTTTATTTTTTTTCCCCCTCCTTCAGAAGAAAAACTGCTTTCTCCCATCCATGCTAAACTGCGTTCCACCTATGGATTATTGTATTGTGATAGCGATGGGTGTGCTACTGTCAGTAAACCTGAACAATGACTGCAGCAGCTTTACTTCTAAATACTGACATGTCAAAAATAACCAGTTCCACTGACTAGTAGTCTTTGTTCTTTTTGTATATATCTTTGCACTGCTGCATTTTGTGTCTGTAAAGTATATTAAAATAGTGTGTGTATATGTAATAAGTGCTGTTGAGTTTTAATATATGGTGACTGTCCTTACTGTATGCATCCGCTTTACAACATAAAGCAATTTTCTCTCCCGTTCATTGAAGGACACAGGCAACAGATCGTAGATCCTGAATGGTAGGGTAATATCGCCACCTGCAGGAGAAGGACGCTAGGCACAAAACTAAAGACCAATTACAGCCTAGGGGCGGCCCCTTCGCCAAGTGAGGATGAGGCTGCGTCTACGCTCCTGGTCCAGGAACGTGAATTGGTCTCGGCGCTGTCAGGGAGACCCTTAAAATGGAGGACGTTGCCAGCACTTCCACGCTGTCGCACGTGCAGTTTGGGCCGCATGTGTGTCTGCGTTCTGTCACGGTGTTTCCTTACATTCCTTTGTTTGATGATTTCATTTCTGAGGGGTGGGAATGGCCTACTAAGTCCTCTGCGGTTCCGAAACGGTTCTCGGTTCGCTATCCTTTTGAGGAGGATTTTGTGTCTAAGTGGTCTTCGCCACCGGTGGTGGACCCGCCGGTCTCATTTAAACGAGGCCACGATTATCCGGGTGGAGGATTCTCCGTTCTTTAAGGATCCTTCCGATAGGAAGGCTGAGGCGCTTTTGCGGTCCCTGTACTCGGTCTCCGGCGCTCTCATACGTCTGGTCTTGGCTTCGGCTTTGGTCTCTCGACTCTAACTGAGTGGGCTAAAATGTTACATCAGGGTCTTGAGGAGGAGAACGTCTCCCCCGCCTTTGTGGAATGCTGGGCCTGCGTTATGTCTGTGATTCGGCTTGGATGCGGCGCCCTTGGTGTCGATGTCAGCGGTGACGCTTCGCCGTTTGCTCTGGCTTCAGTGCTAGTCGGCAGACCAGGCTTCCAAGTAGGCTCTTCAGGAACTGCCCTTTACTGGGGACCGTCTGTTTGGTTCCACCTTGGATGAGATCATTAAGGATCTGACGGGGGTAAGAGTACCTTCCTCCCCCAGGCGCGCAAGAAGGAACAGCGCCGGAAGCCTGGGCCTACTTCTTTTTTTTCGCCCCGCCCTCCGACAAGGGCGGTAAGTTTAACAAACCCTCCTCTTCCCAATCCTCCCAGCGTCCGTGGCAGCCAAAGTCTGCCAGAAGCTCCGGCAAGCCCCAGTCCGCATGAAGGTCGGGCCCCGACTCCGGGTCCTGGGGTGGGGGCCGCCTTCGGCTCTTTGCGGATTTTTGGCAGTCCCACGTCTCCGACTCTGGGGTAAGCGCGAGGTGGACAGGTTTTGTGACCAAGGCCCTGGATCCTTGGGCGGAGGCCGTGGATGCCCTGGTGGCTCCTTGGGGTCCTTACGGTCTGATTTACACCTTTCTTCCACTATGTCTGTTGCCTCGGCTGCTTCATCGGATCGCGGTCAAGGGCGTCACCGTCGTCCTCGTGGTTCAGCTTGTGGTGGACGCCCCGTGGCGTCTGCCTCTGCATCCCGATCTTCTGTCCCAGGGTCCTGTGTTCCATCCTTCTTTACAGTCGCTGGCTTTGACGGCGTGGCTGTTGAGAGCCAGGTCCTGAAGGACCGGGGGTTGTCCGATGCGGTCCTTTCAGAGCGCGCAAAGCGGTTTCTGGAAAAATTTACCATCGCACGTGGAGGGCCTATTTTGCCTGGTGTGGGGCTGGGGCCTTGTCCCCGCGTTTATTCTCCATCTGCAGAATCCTTGCGTTCCTGCCGTAGGTTGTGTCGGCATTCCATCTGAATGAGGACATTGGCTTACCTTCCCTGTGTCCAAAGCCGGTTCATAGGAAGGAGCGTGCGCTCCACTGTTTGGATGTGGTTCGCGCTCTTCGTGTTTATTTGGAAGCTACGGCTTCTTTCCGCGGGACCGACTCCCTGTTCGTGCTGACGGAGGGTCCTCATAAGGGTTGGAACAGTAGAAAGGCATCTATGCCTTTCTACTGTTGGTAGCCGCCGACGCGGCCCAACCCTTATGAGCAAAATTCCCCTAGGCTGTAATTGGTCTTTAGTTTTGTGCCTAGCGTCCTTCTCCTGCAGGTGGCGATATTACCCTACCATTCAGGATCTACGATCTGTTGCCTGTGTCCTTCAATGAACTGAGAGAAAAGGATTTTACGGTGAGTACAAAAATCCTATTTTGGGGGAAACCTAAAGGTATGTAAATAAGTTTTGTTCTAGTAAATATAACCAAACCATTTTAATGGTATATGTTAAGTGCAAAATTGTGTGAGTGTCTGCAGTGTTACATTTTTGTTGTGTTTTGGATATACTTAAGGCAGCCTCTAACCAGTTGAACCCCTTTAGGACCGAAGAATGCTCCGAAACCAACTTTGCAGAAAGTAATTCAGAATGAAAACACTGGTGCTGAAGTGAAAGTGGACAGAACGGAGCGCAGAACTGCATTCAGGGAGTTTCGTCCAAACATCATTGAAAAACCCATGGAATACAGCATTGACAAGTATGTCAAACCTGTTGACAGGTTGGGTGGAGGGTGCTGGGGTTTGTTTGCATATGGTTTTGAAGTAAGTGGAACCTAAGTCTAATATACTTCCCATGCACGCTAGGGTCAGCTGAGGTGGAAGATGAGTAGAAAAATCATGCCACTGTTTCTTATCTTTAGGCCACTTCTTCAGGGCTTCTTGCTTCCAGTGTAATTTGGGAGGTTTGGCATCGGCAGACTTTCTCCTGGTCTCAAGTGGGAGGCTTTTAGACCATAGGTTAACTTTAAAGAAACCTGTACTGAGGGAGATGTGTCAACTGGCATTGCCGGTCTGTCCTTCTGGAAATGCTGGTTGGCTGGCAAAGTGCATTTTTACAGGAGTTTGTTTCCATTTTAGCTCTAAAACTGAGCCATCTTTTTGGTGATCAGCACTGAAAGCTGCAGACCACACACAAATTGGGACTTAAATGGGCTAACTGAGTGTTCTAGCCACTACACTTGTGGGTGCCTTAACAGGCTAATCTCCATAATGGTGTATAAGAAGGAAAACTGAGGGTATGTCAAAAAGTTACAATTTTACACATTTTAATTCTTTAGAACTACTGAAGTGTCCAATCAGCGCTGCATGACGGAATAAATGTCAAAGTACCGCAGCGCTGAATACTGAAAAATGGCCTGGATGGGAAGGGGGTTTAACACCGCGGATGTCAACTGGTTAAGGGGAAAGTTTTTTGTTTAAAATTTTTTTCTTTTTTTTCTTTCTCTTTCATTCCCTTTTCTCTTTCCCTTACATAAGCTTTGAGAAGGAAAAGCAAGTCAGAAGTTGGGTTGCAAACCAAAGAGGGGGCTTGCGTGGCAGAGGAAGAGGTGGATTCCCACGTAACATGGAAAATGATAACCAAAGAGGCAAGCGTGAGTTTGACAGACACAGTGGAAGTGACCGGGCGTGAGTATGCTACAAAATTCTATGCTTGCATCCCGTTATATTTATAATTTTAAGGCATTACTTTCAAAGCACAATTGACATTTTCATGCCTTTCTTCCTAAGGTATAATTTGCATTTGACTTATAATTCTTTTTTTAATCCTATTAGTAGTAATGCAGAGGTACCAGACCCTGAAACACATTATGACCTATGTGGGATGGGATGTGCAACGGCTTTTACCATCAGCCATATGGTATTGGCCACTTTTTTCAAATGCGGGTAGACTCGGAATAGATTTTATGGAGAACTCTTGTGCTCCTCCACAGCAAGTCCTTGGTGTTGTATTACCTTTTTGTTCTAGCCTACAGGAAGGTCCTCCTCTGTAGCACTAATGCATAAGAGTACTTGTGGTAGGGCTAACCCATGGGACTTCTGGTGCCACTCCTGCCATTTTCATATGATGATTTCTAGAGGTGCCCCAAAATAAATTTTAAAACCGCAATGAAGAAAAAATGTTGGCCCAAAAATGTTTTTTTTTTTTTTATCTTTTTTTAGAAACGTTTTTTTTCTAATATATTTTTCCCTTTTTACTTTTAGGGGCTTCGGGGAAATATTAGGCATCTAAACAGACCTCTGATATTTCCCTTTGTTAAAATAGAAAAAGAGATTGAACACAATCCTTTTTTTTTTTCTTTTTCTGCAGTCCGTTATAAATGAACAGGAATCCTCCCTATACTGAGTGTTTCTGTTCATTCATAACATGAGGACATAGTGTGTTTTTACTATAACCATAATCATGAATGAACAGGAAGTGATGTAGATCTCTCCCTTTCATTTATAATTGAGGTTATAGTAAACATATTATGTACAAACACTCGGCGATTACTGATCACTGAGTGTTCGTACTTTGCTCTCCATCCTGACAGCTGTCGCGAGGGGTGTGGGAGGAGAGCTCAGCCTCCTGTGACAACGCTGGTTGTCTCCCCACACACCGTTCTGCCGATTTGTGACCGGAGGCTGAATGGTGCGGGGAGGAGAGACGCCAGCCACTCACAGCGCTCTCTCCCTCAGCGCTCTGCCGCCTGTGACTCTCCTCCCTGTTGGGACACAGAGCAGCGCCCAATGGGGAGGAAAGAAAGCAGGGATGCACCACTATATCGGCAGAAAAATGGCACATTTTCGGACAATATATCGGTGCATCCCCAATGATTTCAATAAGTGGACTCCTTAAGATGTGCTGTGATTTTTCTTTTCTTTGTATCCTCTTTTGTTCATGCTTTTGAAGGTTATTGAAACAGCTGTTTAGAGAATAGACCTTTTTGTCCAACTATGCTTTCCACAATAACACATGTACTATTATAAAATCATGTTTCCTTTTGGACACATGTTAAAATCAATGTCATCACTGGAATCTTGATGCACCCAGTCGAATCACTGTTTTGTGGTCAATGTGACCTATTTGTCAGGTTGCATATATAAAGGGAAGCTTGTGTTGTATTGTGTCATCTAGCATTGTTAAATCTGCTGAAAGCCGATATAGACAAATCATTTAGGAGTCAGAATGCACTCCAGAAGCTAGGGGAAGGTGCTGCCATTGACCACAATATAAAAGGTTTAACGTTGATTACTCTTCTGTGACCCTTTTTGACAGCACGGCCATGATAATGGGTCTGCCTATTTGAAAGTACTGGAAATGGGAGATATTAGGTTGCCCTAACACCAGCTGATTTTCTGCCCCTAAATAGGATAGGGAGGAGGGTTGCTCATGTGTGTTTTGGAGTGTTCCTGATCCCCCTCTATGGATATGTTTTCTGTTGGATGGCAACTGAAAGAAGACTGGCGTCAGTCCTGGCACCTGTCTTCTAGGTCCCAAAACTCAATCTCTTGGCAAGCAGCATATAGAAATCTGGTTTAATTTGAATCCATGGATACTACAGGTCATCCAGATGGGCTACAGTCTGGAATTCAAGGCCCAGCCATCTCCTGGTTTTGAAAGTGATCTCCTGCTTCCCCTCTGATCCAGGCGCTTCACTCCAACCTGTTTACTGTCCACAAAGGGGGGGGCGGTCTGCCCTGTTCTCAAAATCTGTAAGGGGTTTCTGTAAACTGTCCAGAAATTCCATATGGAATCAACCCATTCTGTCATTACCTTGCATCATCTGGGAGGCTTTCTAGTGTCATTGGACATCAGGGATGAATATCTGCACATCCCCATTTTTAATAGTCCACACTTAGACTAATTGTTAATCAGTTAGCTTAAAGCGATTGTTTTCTATCTATAGTAGAGTAAAAGCCGAAGACAAGCGGGGCGGAGGTGGACCTCACAACTGGGGCTCAATTAAAGATGCTTTCAGGTACAGCATGATTATGCTACAAGTTTGCATATGAAAAGGTCTTCCCAGAAAAGCCTTTAGATAATGTGTAACAAAGTGAATTGGTTTAACATGTAAAGAGCAAATTGATGTGTGGCTTAACATGAAGCGGTATGCGTGATTGAAAGCATTGCAAGCTCTCATGGCAAGTGTTCATTTTAAATATATAATCTAAATTAGAACTTTTATTTTAGTCACCATAACCTACATCCCATTTATCCTAGTCCATTTATTTGGGCTATATAACTAGCTACATTTTGATGTCTTGTGTTCAAGTGGTATAAAATCTGAGTGTTTTAAGCTTGTACAGTGTACCAATGTTGTATTCTGCATCTTCTGGTAGTGAGGAAGAGCCTGTACCTGTAGAGACTGTAGCTGAACCTCTTGAGACAGAAGAGGAACAAGATGCCAAGTAAGTAAGCAAGAAATATAAGAACTGCTAACGTGAGGGTTTTTTTTAACTTCTGACACTTGTTATACTTCTCATGTCTGTTTTTTGTAGGATTCCTGAAGAGGGCACTGAAGATTATGTTCAAGAAATGACATTAGATGAATGGAAATCTATGATGGACCAAAGTAGGCCAAAAACTGATTTCAACCTCCGCAAGCCTGAATCCTCTGTGCCTTCTAAAGCTGTAGTTATCCACAAGTCTAAATTTGATTATGTAAGCTATGGACTCTATCTTTTTTTTATTCGGTTAGTCTTTCTAAGTGCATATAGGATGTGTAACAGTGGCCACAGCATTCACTGACAAGTCTCGTGCGAAATGCCATTTACCTAAAGAAATCATCTTTTACTGAACACTAGCCAATGGGCAGTACGGCTTTGACCTACAGGATTATAGGACTTCACTTGGTACCAAATGCAAGTAAGAGAATCTGTAAGTTCTTCTGCTTACTACTTCAGTGGCAAGGCTAATTGGGTGTTGTAGGCTGAAGCCATATTGTCCAGGGTTGGGTTTTCGGAGTTGCTAAAGAATTTGGGATGCTTCAAAAATTCAGAAAGTCAAGTGTTTGTGGATATTTCTGCCAAGTGAAAATGGGATTACCTTTTGTCCTTTCTCCTTTTTTTAATGAGTCCTAGATCTGATAACAAGCCCCTATGTGATGGCATTGAGAGGAGACAGGTTCTTTTTATGGAGACAATAGGGGGTCTATTAGACCCTGATGTCTCCTCTGCCCTCCAATACAGATCAAGCACAAGATTGTGCTTGATTGCCTGTTTACCCTGCACTTCAGCTGTGTTTGTAACCGCTCTAAAGGGCTGAGTGCACTGCTTCAGTGATGACAGAGTAGATCGGGAAATGGGACGTTCCTCGGTCTTCAGCTTTCCATCCCAGCACTGTTTGTTGTGGTCCAGAGTTCCCCCAGAGGAGCGAGCAAGCCCAGAAACCATGATGTATTCCTCTGGCGAGGAAGTCTCCTACACTGATTAGGTTTGTAGGGCTCTTCCTTAGTCTTTCAGGCTGGCATCCTTTGTTGGGATCTTCCAATGCAGCAGGAGGAAGAAGTTTTCTAGTAGATATTAGCTAGACATGTGCACTGCCAAAAAATTTGTTTCGTTTCGTTTTAAATTCGGATTTGTGTTATTTCGTTTTTCGGGATTCGGGTGTGAAAAAGTCAATTCGGACGAAATTCTGTAGCGGTAGTTCGAACGTTCGTTTCGTTTTCTGTTCTTATTCGTTTCTTCGTTTCGTTCGTGACATTTGAGGGGGAAAAATATTTTTCTCCTTCTCTAATGTCACTTTGCTCCAACGAACGAAACGAATAAGAAACGAATAAGAACAGAAAACTAAACGAACGTTCGAACTACCGCTACCGAATTTCGGAAATGGAAATTCGGATTCGTTTGCATTCGTTATGTCTGTAATTCGGATACATCCGAATTTCCGAAAATTCGTCCGAATTTCGTTTCGGAACGAAACGAATCGCACATGTCTAGTGGGCACAAGTAATTTGGCAGCTGTACAGCGGCCCAGATGACATGTACTTTGACATGACTTGCCTGGTTAAATACTTTTTTTTATTTTTAGAAGACAATTTTTAAAATTTTATGTTTGAGTCCAACTTCAGACTGAGCAGTTTGATAAAGGATGAGTCCATCACATGTATGAATATTTCATATTGACAGATTCTGTTTTGTAAACCGGCTGTAAATGGAGCTTTCTGCCCTCCCTAATCCTTTCAGTGACTAAATATTAATGTACAGTATTTAGTCTTTACCTAACAAAAGGAATATGGACTTTAAGAAAAATGTGCACAAAGTGTGTACACTCCCTTTGTTTTATTTATCTTCTAGTAAATGTCAGTGTTTTCCCCAGTATATTATGCATCTGTACACTGCCCTTTTTTTAATGCCTGTACATCTTGTTTGACACCAGAATATCAAGGATGATGACTACCAATATGGCCTCCGCAAACCTGTGAATGATATCACAAGCCAGCTGGATATCAATTTTGGAAATCTTGCTCGACCAAGCCGTGGGGCAAGAGGTGGAGGCCGAGGCCGTGTTAGAAGAGAAGAGGTGTTGCCACACGAAGTCCTAAATGTATGTGAAGCATAATCTTAAATCTGTGCTAATGTATTGTGCTGCTAGATTTAGGAAACTTACCCTGCCCCTCTATTCTAGGTTTCTGTATCTTTTAACGCAGGTACTGGAGGCATCTCTGTAAAAGAAGCTTGCCGTCTAGAAAGCCTGAAGTTTGGGGCAGTCCTTTTTATTGGAAGCTTTCATTCCAACTTAAGGCTGACCATGGGTGGCATGATTGGTAACGGACTGAGGTGTGACTAGTAGGCCAATTCAAAATGGAATGTAGACTTTTGAACATCTCTCATTTCCCATGTACTGTAGCTAGCCATATGCATCAGGTTGCTGCACATGTACACAGGCCCATGTGAGAATTGGCTTTCCTACCTTATTTATAATATATTTTTTTTTATGGGAGCATTGTATCACTACAGAACTTGCTGTATTTTGTAGAGACCATTTACCCCTATTTGACATGCATGTAAAATGCACATGCGTGAAATCTCGCATGCCCCAGGTGACATTCCAGGTATGTATAGTATTTATAGCAGACAGGAAAATGTATGTATAGGTATTGGCGTACCACAGGTTTGTGTGGAGACATGTTCTGGAATTATTGGCTGTAAACTCAAAATGAATGCTTGGAGTAGACTGTACCCTTTAACAGTATAGTCATTTTATTTTTTAATACAGTATGTTGGACCACATCTCAATTTTTAATGCTACTGCATAGTACTTCCACACCACCCTGACATTTTGTAATTTTGAAATGGACGCATTGCCAATGGGTCTTCCCATGGTTGGTTTTTGGATGGGACTTGCAAGTGCACAAATCTGATTTTCAGAAGACCTCTGAAAGCCTTTGCTCTATCTAAATGTGCATTTTTTCCCCCCGTCTTCCTAGGTGCAGGACTTTGCTCTGAATCCAGATGACCCTGATGACTTTCCTGCTTTGTGTTAGTTGGACTTCTGAAGTTTTTCTGCTATTCTAAAGAGACAAGTAGCTGTTCATGATTGTGGGGGAAAGGTGTGTCCAAGTCTACAGGACTGTTCTTTTTCTTGGTGTGAAACTCTTGCAGCTGAAGTATAGAATACCTGCACTGAAATGAAAAAAAAAAAGTCCCTGACTTCATCAGGACACCAGGTTTCCACTTCTCGTGAAGAGGTTGTAAAATATTACTGTGTATAGAAAAGTGTAATGCCAAAGACCTTTTAGACTGAAGTCCTGTAGATATGCAAGCAATGCTGCTTTTCCCTGCTTCAGTTTAAAGAACCTATTTTATGCCACAATGCAGCACTCTTGAATTGTTGAAAAAAATTAAACTTATTATGCAAATTTTGTGTGTCTCTATTACAAGACTTAACATTTTAACCCAATGAATTGTCTCCCAGAACAGTTGTCAAAGCTGCCAGTGTGCTTATTTCAGCTCTCAACTGAACTTCGCTCTAAATAGTCTAAGATGGTACCTTCCTTGGCTGTAAAGGATAGGAGGGTATGGTTCCACTTCAAGTGAAACTGTTGTGTTTTGTTCTCACATCTGTGACAGACCATCACTTTTGTCATGAATTCAGTAAACCTTTCAAATAACCATAATTTATTGGGAGAGAAGATTTTAAAAGACCAGTCACCCAGAAAGAGCAGCAGTGGCTGGTCTTTATTAAAGGAAGCTCCTGCACAGAGGTAGTCTCACACTGGATTATTGCACAGATCTGGAAGAAATACACTAAGCACCCCAAGATTAAATAAGAATATATATGGCTTTTCTTTTTAGACTTTGCTTATCCCCAAGTTCATCTTTAAGAGCTTTCAGTTGGCATGTCACTTTGGGGTCTTCAACCCCTTGAGCAGCCAGGTAGGAGTTCTCCCAATTTATGATTCAAGCTGTGCCAGTGCACTTATTAATGGATGCCATTTGTCATTCCTGGTTGACAAAACAAATTTCTCATCACTACCAATTGTCATTCTAGGCTAATGGCTGATTACCTTATTTACTTAGGTGTAATCTCTTCTGTCAAGACTGTCATGATGAATAACTTCTAATGGAGATGAGAGACGGTGGGTTAGTGGGTAATTAAAAAAAAGTATGTTGCCCATCTTTACAAACTTGACTGCAGCTTTATGAGATTTGCAAGTTTTATTCTCACAGTTGTTGCTGTATACTTGGCAACATTTTGGAAGTTTTTAGCGTCGGGTTTACATTTTTTAGGCTGGCAATGCAATCTGATATCCATTCTAGAACAAGGGCATTCTTTTGACACGAGTTAAATGGATTGTTTAGCGTTCTTTGGTAAACCTAAAAAAAGATTGTAAAGTGATTGTACAATTATTATAGTGTATGATCAACTTCTTTAGTGCTACATCTGGCTACTAGAAGGAAACTTCCAAGCCAAGATAGAGCATTTGGCTGTATCTTGGCATGGTCAGAATTTCTGACCTTTTGTCAGGTCAGAAATTCAGTTTCTGAAGACTGTGCCAATGGCAGAATAGTCAAGGAAATTTAACCACTAGGTGTTGTGCCCTTGCTGGCCTGGAATGCTGCAACAATGGATTAGTGTCTCACGGGGTATGTCCAGCTGGTAGTAAGACCATAAGGGAAGTGGTATCTTGTTGAGCTGTTGGAAGAGAGGATCACCCTTGGCATACACTTGACGTTAAAGCTAGGACTATGCAGGGGATTGCACATTTTTGTACTTTACAGCTCATCTATATGCTTTATTTATTTTAGTCACATGGTCTTTTATCTTGCAGTATTTTACACTGATTTTGATTGTGATATCCCAAGAATAGCGGGTCCAAAAGTTATAATTTCAGCTACTTCCCTATTGTGGATATGCTCTGAATTATTGGCAGCACTTTGACATAACGTCGCATAATGTATTGGGAGAATTAAATGCACTGTGGCTATTTGCCAGTGGGGCGCCCAGTATTGTAGAATATTGACAGCATACTGACCAAGAGTACCAGTTAATGTGAGAGCATACAGCCACTGCTGATCTCACCTAGCAGTTCCAGAACATTGTAGATCAATTAAAAAGTTACATCTTTATGGAAGCTGCATGGAGTTGGCCCTTTTGACTTTTTTTTAATTTTATTAGAAAGTGGCCATTGCAGGAAAGAATGTCCTTCCAAGGTCTCCCACAGTGTGTGGGAGTACACAACTTCGGCACTACAGCTGCTGTGAAACTACAAGTCCATGAGGCATGACTACCAGAGACAAAACCATGATGGTATTTGTAGTTTCACTCAGTGGTGGTGGAACAAAGAGCCCTGGTGTAAGTTTTTTTTTTTTTAAAGGGGCTAGGGCAGGACTGGATCTCTTGCTGCACTCACACCCCCCCATGGTCTCTGCACCAAGGGAACTTACTCTAATGGCTCCCCTCATACTTGCTCACTATTTTATACAATATACAGACATGCACTGAGTGGCCAGATTATTCAGTACTTCGTTGGGCCACCTTTTGCCTTCAAAACTGCGGCGATTCTTCTTGGCATTGACTCAACGAGATGTTGAAAGGTGATGCAAGGAATCTGACACCATGCCTGATGAATAGCACTGTTCAGTTCTGTGAGATTTGATGGCTGTGGAACCAGCTGCCTGATGGCTCTTTCAACTTTGTCCCACAAATGCTCAATTGGATTGAGATCTGGTGATTGTGGGGGCCACCTAAGCATGGTAAAGTCTCCCTCATGTTCTTGAAACCACTCCTGCACAATATGAGCACTGTGGCATGGTGCATTGTCTTGTTGGAAGAAGCCATCAACATGATAGGAGGAACTTGATCAGCAACAATACTTTGGTATGTTGTGCTATTCAGAAGTTGTGCCACACGAATTAAAGGGCCAAAATCATGCCCTAAACCAGTGGTTCTCAACCTGTGTAACCTCCGGACCCACATTTGTCCTCGGTCATTAAGTCGTGACCCAAGTCACACTGCAATGGAATGCTTGACAGTGTGGGCTGCTGTACTGTGATGGAGCTCCCTTAGGGTTGCCACCTGTCCAGGATTCACCCGGACTGTCCGGGTTTTGAATACTGTGTCCAGGTTTCATGGCAGCAGAAACCCGGACACAAGATGGCAGGCAGGGGAAACCAAAATTCATGTAGGGGCTACTGGCCCCCCACTGAAAATGGTCTCAGCTTTGATATTCACATATGAATGGGTGGCACTATTTACATATGAATAAGCCGTGACTCATTCTTCCAAGAAAAAAATGTCCATGCGTCGCTAGAGTGTTTGGGTATCACTTGAACAAAAGGTGGCAACCCTAAGCTCCCTCCATATGTGCATCGCTTGTACCGCTCCCATGTGTGCCGTTAGAGGTGTCGGGAGCCAGGATGTGATGTCACTCAAGTCCAAGCACCTCTACCGGACATGCGAGGGAGCTGTAAGCAATGCACGTATGGCTGAAGCTCCCTCGCGGCAGTACTCTCAGTCCATCCCAAGTCGGCACACGGTGCCGGGCAGCATATTTTAAATGGCTGCTTGGTGTGAGAATGGACAGCGCTGCGCTAGGGGGAGGCTGAGGAGCCTCTCACCTAGAAAAGTGGAAGGCAGGCAGCGACCCACAGAACACGGGGTCACGACGCACCAGTTGAGAACCAAGTTTATAGCTAATTTGCCTACAAATGTCAGGTGGTCATAATAATCTGGCCACTCAGTGTATACCATAGTGCTGTACAGGGGAGTTTATACTCTAATGCAGAAAGGCACCAGCTATAGAGGGCTACAAAACCCAGCAATATATTATACAGCAATGGAGAATAGTATATGAATTTGATATAGTCTGTGTTGCCAAAAATACAAATTTAAAGGGCCATGCACCTCCCAAAAGGGGCCCAAACCTCAGCTACATGGCATTGGTGCCAGAAAGCACCATTGGCTAGTGAATTAGTCTACCAATGCTTATCTTTAGCCTTCTTTGGAGGAATCCTGTGAGAAAGGCTGCGCTATAGTATTCCCTGTTTGCTCTTTACCCTGGAGGGGCCCAATGCTGTGATAGGGAAAGGACTAGTGGACTGTTCTGCCAAGTTCAAGGGCACATTGAGTGAAAAAAAAACTATTTATGGAAAGGACAAAACCAAAGTAAGACTTATATAAAATGTGTGTTTTTCTGTGCTTTTAAATGTTTTGTTTTTTTTTTTTTTTTTTTTACTTTAAGTTGCTGATGCAGGGTCTCTAACCCATGTAATTATCACAGCAACTACAGCTGTACAAACACCCGCCTAGGCAACAAGTCAAATTAGTATAAATGTTATTAATGGAGTGTTCATAAAAACCAATTTATAATAAGAACTTTGCAGCAGAGTTATGTAAAGCAGGAATTTCTACTGACCAGGCACATTCATTTATTTAATGGAGAAATGAATAGTTCCGTTTATTTTATACAATTAAATTTTTTCCAGTTTATGTATAAAAGATGTATACAACCAACCCAAGGTTTTAATATATTTATTTAAGCAGAGGGAACTCTCAACATCTTTGTTAATAAAAAATACCTTCTGTAAAATATCCTTTTCAGTAGCTTGGCTAAGTTTAAAAATATGGCTACAAATATACAATTTTTCTAAAAATCAAGATGCTTGAAGAGCAGGTTACTATACATTCTTAAAGCAGAACTTCAGCCAAAAATGACCAGGTCAAAGTAAATAGCCCCTTAATAGGTAAAATAAAAATCCAGCTTTTGCAATATTCCGCTTCAGTCCAGAGTTTTTTTTCTCAGCAGTATTTTTTTGTTTTCCTCCGTCTGATGTCCAGCATCATGTAACCAGCTTGCTCCTAGCTGTAATCATCCTGGACCTGCCCCAGCTTGTCATTGGACAGAGAAGAACCACAGCTATGAGCTCATCTCTTTATCACTTTGCTTTCTCTTCCCATCAACATGCTTCTTGTCAACTCATCAGAGAGGCTGATAGCAGGGTCAAATTCCACTGCTTTCATTTAATGATGTAATAATAATTACAGGGCTGCATTAATTTAGTGTTTCTATCTACCTCGAGTTCAGCTTTAAGACAGATGAACAAACAAAAAGGCACACACGGACATTTACAGTA